TACAAGTTTTCCTCCTATTTTTTTCTCAGAGCATGTTCACACTTCGCGATGGCGTGATCGGATTGCACGACTGGATCGCGCGATCAAAAAGTATGAACGCGTCCTTACTTTCTTTTTCTAACCTTGCCAAAATTCAAGTAGCTTCAAGAAGAATCCGTACTTCGGATGCACCCCGTTCTTATCTTTTCTTAATTCGATCCTAGAGTAGCTCATTTTCCGAAACTTCTTCAATGGAGCGTGTCCAACGGTTTCGTGCGACTCAAAGCCACTCATTAACTTGAAGCTCTTACTGAAACCCTCAAGTATATTTCAGATGGCTGAAATGCTTCACATTGATTTCCCTCTTGTGGCTAATGCAATATCGGTGTTCTGTCGCCTTGGATTTGCAAAGAAGAGAGTCACAGGAATGGAGACAGCTCGCCTTCATTATAGCTGGGCGCAACACATTTCCATACCAAATTCTCCTACGCAGTAAGTTGTTGCGTTTTTATGTTTGATGCCGACTTACTTTGCTCATTTTCTGTCCATTGCGACCTATTCTTCAGCTTTTAAAGACGGACCCCGCGACTATATATTGTTGGTAGTGGGGTTCAGTTACTGAGCTATAGTCGCGAAATGACTCTCCAGACATGGAGAACACCATTAGTAAGGACCAGTGGCAACGTCACTGTAGAAGTTGTCGGACTTGCTGGCTTTATGCCAGCAAAACGGTATCCTGCCGCCTCTGGCTCGCTAGTCGTCTGTTCGCGTCATCAACTGCTAATACTATCCAACTGTGAAAAAAGAGACGAAAGCGCGGTATCGAACTGAACCCGAAAAAAGCCCTTTATGTTTCGTGGGCGGGACAACTAGAGCCTGAGAGCCAGACTGCTTGTCTTGCTTGTCAAGAGCTTATAATTGCTTCAGCGCGGGGGCTGTCTTCAAGGAAGATTTCCACGAGAAATTTCATTTTCTGGGGCAGTTTTGGCTAGTTCTTCGTCGCTGAAGTTGTCGCCAAAGTCAAGTTAATATTGTGCACATGTGCGAGAATTCAGCCCGCACTCGCTTTACGGGCGCTGAAGCCAAAATAGTGCCATGGTGCCATCGCCTGTAGTGAGGGAGTCGGGTATGCCGTGAAGAAAGGGGCATTCAGGCTCACATTTGTTCATTGTTCATCTCCGTAGATAATCAAGTTATCTTTGCGGCGGGCAAAAACAGTCCTGGTCAAATCATACCTTTGGGCCCAAATACGCAATTGTCAGCGATTTTCAAATCTGCGCGTCATGAAGCGAGTAAGCCGAATACCACTTGACGAGAAATAACAGTAACAGGCTGACAAGCAAAGCGCCTGCCACGGGTAACCGAAGGAGAAAGCTCGTACTCTGTTCCTACACATATATTCTTTCCTCAGATTTAATGCTCTGTTAGCTTTGAACCAACCATTTTGCAGAGATGACATGGTGACGTCGGTCTCGGGTGATCTAGGCGAGCTATCGGCTTCACTGGCTTCACCTATGGGCGATGACGATGACGACGAACAAGTAGCAAATCTCAGCAACTACAGCTTGAAAGATTCGGTGTGTTAGGTTTTTCTTTTTTATCATGCGGCTGAGAACTTTGGGAGGTGACTGGCTGAATACGCCCGCATAGTCAAATCCTTGTGTCACGCTTCTCTTTAGTTTTGTCCAGAAACTATCGAGGGTTTTTGACCGTTTGCTTTGGATTAGTCTTGTGTTTTAAGGTTTCCTCACAACCCTCTTCTGAAGTGCCATCATCATCTGGTCGGACAGCTTTTCTCTTTGATTCAACCTTAGCAGCGTTTTTAATGATGGGGAACCTCTCAAGCTCGCTGAAGGTGAATTATCTTTGAAAGTTCGACTTTTGCGTTGAGTAGAATCAACAGCACCTATTAAAAGAACTTTTGCGTTGTAGAATCAACAGCAAGTATTAAAAAAACCTTGCCTGAAATATGTTATCTGAACGAAAGGCTCTGCTTGCTGCAACATGACAAATGTCATGCCAAATTTGATAGAAAGATCATTGAGTGTCCTGTTATTTCCAAGTTCTTTTTACTCACAGAGTTTTTCCTTAGCAAAATTCTGAGAATATCTTCTAAAATCGTTCACATTATTGCCTTTTGACCGGCTTCGGATAGCGCGGCAGGTCGTACGAGATCACGGCATCTGAATGAATCCTAATGTAAAGTTGTGCCCTTTTCTGCACAAAACGTATAGCTTTAAGGGCCATGCGGTGACGTTGTTCGAGGTGGGGAAGTTGGCTGACGAGCAGATGCGCGACTTTCTGGAACAACTGGAATGTGTAAGTGCAGCCTTTGTGTAGCTTAATCTTTTTAGCAATCCGTTTTCGTCGCTTTTGAGAGATAATACAGTTTGTGCACTGGAGGGGCGCACCAGGAGGGATGCATTTGGCACGACGCAAAATTCTTTCCTCACCAGATATCGAAGCGGATAAGCGACAAAAATTGGTGAAAACTTCTGATAGGAACGATATGGTAAAGTCTTATCGCTTTCTTGCTCCAATAAGTGGTGGAAGACGGGTTTGGCATTGCGCCAGACCCATCTCACCTGACACCCCCCCCCCTTCATCCGCAGTGAACAAGAATGTAAGTACAGTTTATTGCGACAGTACTTTTGTGATCTATTCATGACTACTTTGTTGTTGGTGTTTACTAACTGCTCGTTCAGGTAAATCGTTTTGCTGAGGGAGAAGCGCAACGATATTCTGAACATGCGATGGCTCTGCTTGATATTCTGCGAAATCTTCGGAAAGGAAGAGAAGTGGATATGTTGAGAGGAGAAGAGCTTGCTCAGTCTCGACCCGCAGAGTCGCATTCGAGTGGTTCGTCATTCATAGAAAGCCCAATTTTCATATTTGTAAACGCGCCTGCGGAATCGGTTGTGAGTGCGTTGGTGATACAATTTAGGCGGTTCTAACGGACAACCGCCCAGCCTGAGCATGTGCGTGAGAGGGCGCAGACGGCTCAAGCATATGCCAACGTATTTCTCATACATTTCTGCTTTAAACGAGCTGCTTGCCAACGCCCATGCTCACACCAGGGCAGCTCCTATGGACAAGTTTCGCATAATAACTACCCCCCCCTTTTTCTGATCCTCATCCCAACCTCACGATTCCTAAATTCCTATCTCTCAATTCCTCCCGTACTTCCTACCGTTTGAAATCAAGAGCTCTTACCAGTCGTTTTGATAAATAACTACTGCAGCTGCCGTTCATAGCGGGGCGAGGGTGCAGAGGGGATATGGCGCACCTGAAGCGATAAAAGAACTTAGCAAGAAGCAAGAAAAGAAACCAACAAACGAAAACACATTTTTTCACGCGTACTCTAAAACACGTTTGCCTCTTCTTTCTTTATCTCTAGCGGAAACCAAATATCACCCCTTCGCTAGACATACCAACCAACGCGACGTGCCCTGCTCACAACCAAACCCCTCGACGCTCTCCAACGCCGAGATGCGGCATCTACGCGGATCCCAGATATTCTTTGTACCACGTTTGGCCCAGGTTTTGAATTTTTTTCTTTGTTGACATTTACGTGACAGCTTTCACTGAAGTTTCTCATGACACTTCAAACTTTTTGAAGTGGTTCCACACATAATAGTAGCAGATGGACATATTTAGCATCGTCGTGTCTATGGCACCGCTGTCATGCGATGCGTGTACTGTGCCTGCATCTTCGTTGCCTTTCATTGGACCTCCTATACCGGAGGTGAGCATTAGCTATTACTAAAAGATTTTTGTTTATTTTTGCTGCACTTTTGTCGAGGTAAATGACATTGGCGTCAGACGAAAACGAGTATCCTCCTGAAGGATTGTTCATTATTATGAGATATCGCTCTTTGCTCACTCATCTCTTCTATTCTAGGCCTGTTCGCCTTGGCTACGACTGGCTATCTACAAGGCGGCTGGCTGTGGTCCTGCATCTGCGTATATTCCAAAAGGTACGAGGCTGTCAAGGCTGCCCTCAAACATATCCCATGCATCTCGCCTCCTCATCACATCGGCGAATCACGAGCCCCAGCATATGTCGACGTATAATGCGCTCGTTGCACTCAATGAAGTACTCCTTACAACACCTCTCTTCGTACAGGTAAGCTGATGGTATCCCTCCTGTTATCTCACCCATAGTTATGATGTTACTGTCTACATGATGGCAGCTAGCAGCTCCTCCATCTGTAGCCTCGTTCATAGTCAACTTTCCTTGTAAGGCTAGGTCCATACTTGCGACTGCGACCCCACGACCACTTGTAGCTCATATCTGGAAATCCTTTATCGTGAGCAATGCGCTAATCGAGAGAGACGCGCGCAATTCGCTTATGTTCAATGTTAGCCGATTTCCATCTGATCCTTTAGCGCGAATTCTATTCTCCCCATTCCCTCGTATTGAGGCGACTTTCTTAAAGAGATACTGAGGCAAGTGTTTACTCATGACTGTGTCGGAAGCACGAGCCTCCCCTTGTGCTGGGAAATTTCGCGCAGTTCACGGCCCCGGCACCAGGTTACTCTCTTGGTAGAGACACCGCTGCTACCTCCTATGTTTTATTTTTTCCAAATTCCTGTATGTTTTCTTCGCACCAACTAGGAGGCTATGGCAAAAACGACACTCACTTCTCCAGACTAATAGAGACCTGTGGCTGATACTGCCAGCCGTGCGACGTACTCTGGTCGGGAGCGCTTCGTCATTGACAGTTTGACGCTTCAGCCTAGTGTTTGGCCTGGCGAGTCAGTTTTGTTTGTTCGATCTGAACAGCGCATAAATACGCGCAAACTTAACCTTCTCCGGATGGCGTCCGAAAATAGGAGGCAACTCAAAACCGCAACCAGTGAGCACGGTAATAGACTTTTCTTTCCCCCAATAAAAAAAGTTTTGAAAAGCGGGAAAAATTTTCCAGTACACGTTACACACCACTCGAAGCAGCGTCATGAGCCTCTGTGCTATCCGCTCTCCTTGCTTCGGAAGACAAGGTGAGGTATGATAAAATAACAAGAAGTTGAGGTGGTGTAGTAGCAACGTAGCCGCGTAGTACGCGGCGGGCGGGTCGAATTCAGGTTCGGTATCCTGAGTCGACCAGGCAAGCTCCTACCCTCTGGACGGTAATTGGTACCAGATCCGTTTGGGAATTGAGAACATTGACTTGTACCCCGCTGTCGGCTGACCCCTTTATTCAATGCGATGGGGCCACTGTATACGCCTCATCGCATTGAATAAGCCACTATGATTTGGGAACTAGAATGTATGCCGCACCCTAGAAAAAGATCAATCAGCGGCGATGAATTTTATCCTTTTCGTCCTTCTGATTAGATCAACTGGAGTTAGCCGGTCTTTTCAGGAATACCCTCATTATTCTGATGAAGACGAGCTCGTTTACGTTCCTTTTCCGTTCGATGACAGTGAAAGCGAAAACAATGGTAAGCATCCGTTGTAGTGAAATATTATAGTTTTATAGTATACCCTTCGAAAGTTTCCCAAACAGGAGCATTCTCCAAGCATCCAGCTGTACAAGCGCTTTCTTCCCGTATCGGATTGGATTGGCTATGTGGTTACATTGTCTTGGTTAATCGGCGAGTGGCGCGGAAGTCAGCTACGAATTCGTCTATTAGTAACTACGAAAATTCTGCCCAGAAAGAGTCATCTATCGTTTTGAGGTAATCAACACTGATTTGGGTTCTGTAAGGTTCTCTTAATTTTTGAGGGTGAGGGGTTTCAGGGGAGTTCATTGAAGAGCTTCTTTCAGTGCACTACCAAATGGTTTCACCTATGATGATTATGTGCTCCTTGATTGTGTGTTCGGTATTCCGCTCTTCAATTCACCACTAAATCATGCCATTTGCAGTCGAATGATTAGCAAAGGAATTTTGGAATTGAATAAGTAAGTTGAAGCCTAGTAGACACGGATATGTACAGTCCTTATCACCGAAGTAAGGGCATGTCAGCGTTGCGTGGGTTTTGACGCAGCGCCGATCCCATTTCTGCCCCTCATTGAACGCCGGAAACCGCAGCGATCGATGGAAGATGATCTGGCACCGCGCTTAAACCCACAAACCGTTGACCTGCCGCAGCTCACTTCAGTAATAACGACTGTATAAATGGCATATGAAGGCTTTGGAGCAACGAATTGGGGAGGTGAGTGCAACGTCAGAAGTACAGAGGAGAATCTCCCATGCTTTTAAAGACACCTTCCGCGATTGCAAATCTGGATAGTGTGTTCAAAACATGAATATGTAGGTGGGCTTTGGCTTACTTGAGAGGATGAGAGAAAAAATCGTTGAAGACACTCTTACAGTCTTGTTCACTGCGGGTGATGGAGCGTGTCAGGGGAGCTGGACGACATGCAGTGCACAGAGACGCAGATACGCTCAGCAAGAGATCGGACACGTACGGGCCAGAACTACTCAGCCGCTTACACAAGTATAAAAAGAGTGATTGCACTCCATGTGTATAGGCAGAGTTGGGCAGCGTTCAGACTTCGCGACGGCGGAGCTTCGGTCGCGCGTTCGGGCCTGCCTTACCGGACGATAGGGCCTGCCTTACCGGCCCGCACTTCGAGCAAAACATTTCATGCCGGCAAGGGAGCTAACACCCCTATCTTATTTGTCATTACTGCTTTTTTGGCCTTCTGAAGTAGCATAGTTGCCAGCCCTGTGCCGAATTAGTCTCAATGCCCAGTGATGGTATCTTACTCTATAAGAAGGGTTAGTGTTACATGTGAGCGGACTTTCACTCATTTTTATTCGATATCTTCCATGTCAATTTTTCAGTCGAGCCAATATCCAGTTTCGAAAAGGGCACGTATTGATATGATCTCATCAGAAACTTCTGAACACTTTCAATTACGGTCATGTCAAGGTAAGCCAAAGAACTAGCTCAAGTCTGGTATATACCCTGAACACCAATTTCAGAGCTCTTTTCCAACTATCGAACCGCGGAAATCGGAAGTTGTTCCACCAATTACGTCCATATATTACGATCCTGTAGAGAACGTAGTGTACAGTTAGAATAGTATTTATATGTAGTTCCGAGTGATTTATTTTTCAACTGTTTGCCATAAAATTTTTTTGTGCAACGGTAGTATCGTAGCACGGTTTAACTTTCCATTCGAATGAATAGATGTGAGTGTGCCCCTGCCTTTTAAACGCGTTTTTTTGGTGACAAGCTGCTCGGCTGTTCTTTTGCTACGCTGGTGCCTCTCATAATTTTGGTTTTTCGTTGAATATGGCCTGGATTTTATGGCGGTCTTTTGCTTATGGCTTTCAAAGCAAGACTGCAAGTTGTACGGGAAATCTTTGTTGAGGGCACCATTGTATTCTGAATGGGACGTAATCTGTCTGCGTGAGACGGCTAGGAACCTTTTTGGCGCTTTCGGCTTGGGAGGGACATCATGCACTTTCGCTAGATTCTTTTGATACTTCCTTTCGGAGTACATGTCATATCTTGCCCTGGACTCGATGTTTACAGGGAACCTTACCAGGTTCCCACAATGGATGCATCGCTGATGATCGATGGGACGAAAAAAAAACCCTCACCAAGCCCAGCTGCGCCTTTTTCTATTTTTCTACCTAAGTATATTAATTTTTGGGACACAGCCATTACGAAGCTTCATAGCACCGTTACTATCACAGTTTCATAGTGACTAGGTCTTAATATCTCATGTTGTCTCACAACTCATTCCGGAGCCGCGGCACTATGGCTATAGCTGAACCCGTGAACCTTTTGACATCTCGACAAACCAAGGGATCAGAGTTATAGCCATGTCTAGTATATCTTGTTCCCTGCGGATCTGGGGCGTCCGCAATATCTTATCAGACGCGCAGGATTTCCTTCGAAGACGCGAGGTGGTAGCGAAAAATCGTAGAAATAACTTTTTGGCGCCTTGCACCAAATACTAGCCCGTATACGTCGCCGGGTGGTGGGGGGCGTGGATCTAGCTATCTCTATCAAGCGAACGTACTAGCCTCTATTACTCGCCCGAGCATCAGCAGCGAACGCTATAGCTCGATCACGCTCGCGAGAATGTTGAGGTAGAAATAGCCCTTAAATAACCCTCTACTATATACACACTTCTCTTCATTCCACTATTGTCTCTTCACTGTCCAGGGATGGTATCGTATTCGCTGCCCTTTATAGGCAACTGTTAATATCACTTTTCTAGTCTATACAGGGATTTTGTCGGGAAATACATATTGGTGATTTTCTTCCTATCTCTTATCGCATGTTTATAGTCATATGGGCGTCTTTAATTTATAATTACCTGAAATTTTCAAACTTGTGTTGTTTCCTTATCAGTCATGTGATGTGTCCCAGAACACGATAAATATTTTTATAATTCTCATTTTCTTGTGCTGGAAAATCTTCGATTCGCTGGTAGGGCGTTCCCACCTAATAAAAACGAGAAGGTGGATCCACGGAAACCAATAAAGTCTAATGGCATTCGTAAGCCGTCCGGCTCATGTAAAAGATTGTTTCTTGTTCTCAGGTGGTAACAACATGGACGGCTTGATATGTCTACGTGGTTTTCGTGCAAGAATCGACCTCATGTCCACAGCGTGGTAGCAACTCCACATGTCACTGTATCAGTTCTGCTCTTGTAATACTGAGAAAAAAAGCCTCACGGAGCATCCCTACTCCAAACGTCTGTCATTGGAAAGAGTACGTGAACTCTTGGCGTACTAGCGCTTTTCGCAATCAGGATGATTCCTGAGTCCGATACGAGCAAGGCCGTGGAAGTATAGCCGCACAAGATGCTTATCTGGGCCCCTTCACGTGTGGCTGGTAGTCGTACAGTGTCTTTAGGTCCATATATGGGGGCTTTAGGTGTGGCTGGCAGCGAGGGTCCAGGCGAAGGAGAGTCGGCAGGGGGATAAGCAGCCATCGCATGACGGCTTGATACTGTACTTGGAAATCTTCTATCCTTTTACTATTACTTTTGCAGAATCTAGCGAGGGCCTTGAGTCTCATTATGGGTCTAATACTCTCTATCAAATGCGCGAGACGCGCTGGTTGTATTAGGGGGAGAGAAGGAACGGGACACAGAACTATTCTGCCTTTCTCAATGGTGTGCCTCTACTCTTTACAGTGCATGGAAACGCACATGATAGGGCCGATCAGAGGGGTGCAATGTGGCTGTCACTGCTCTATAAAGGACGCATCAATCTGGACGCTCCACGACTCTCTGACTCCGCCCATACGATCTACGCGAGCAGTATTTTTGACTCACACACAAACAATGTCGAGGGCTGGGTGCTGTTGCACCATTTCTCATTTAAGAAACCCAGGTGCATCGAGCGTCTGAGTAGCAACGTCTGCTTTTGGCACTTTAGAACCCTTGTGGATAAAGCTGGACCTTCAAACATTCCGTGATGTTTTTGTTCCAAGGAGCCGCAATTGCCATTTGCGGTTGTAGAACTTAGAATCACTACTTTATGCGGTAAGTGGTATATTCCTGAGGGAAAGCCGATCAAAGCGTCGGGAACCTAAGAGTAGCTTGGTTGGTTTCAAGCATTAACTGACCATTTTCAGCATTACCTGGCTAAGGAGTCTAGAAATCAGAAGCAGCTCATGGTTTGGTCAGAGAATGTATAAATGATGGAGACCCAGTCGCTGCATAGAACGAAAAGATGGGGGGTGGATCCTGCTCACGGGGGCGGAGCTACGTCGATAGGCCGTGTCGTTTCGATGAAACGCTTTCTAAGTAGGAGAGTGGGACATACTCTGGGACCGCGCCGTCTTATGCAACTGGAGACTTGTTGAGTAGGAAGCCATGAGGGAGGTGCATAGGGTGGTCGCACAGGTAGATCGCGCCCCCTACGTGAGATCTGTAGTTGGCGCGCCCCCCAGGCAAGGTGGTCTTTTCGCGGGCCCCTCAGGCAAGATAGGGGAGGGGCCGCGGGTATATAA